AATGAAGTTCTGGGAACTCGAAGAGCACGAAGTGGCTTACAGTTGGCTCCGGGCATCCAAAATGTGGCCCGGGAATGGAGTTCTGGGAAATGGAAGAACACGAAGTGGCCTACAGTTGGCTCCGGGCATCCAGAATGTGGCCCGGGAATGGCGTTCTGGGATGTCGAAGAGCTCGAAGTGGCCTACAGTTGCATCCGGCCTCCAGAATGTGGCCCGGGAATGGAGTTCTGGGAACTCGAAGAGCACGAAGTGTGTGACTGTTGCATCCGGCCCTCCAGAATGTGGCCCGGGAATTGCGTTCTGGGATCTCGAAGAGCACGAAGTGTGTGACTGTTGCATCCGGGTATTCAGAATGTGGCCTGGGAATGGAGTTCTGGGAACTCGAAGAGCACGAAGTGTGTGACTGTTGGTGAAAAACGAGCCCGGCACCTGCCGCCCGGCAACTCCCAACACCTGCCCGGACCCCCCTGTGGAGTGATCTGCTGCTCTCTTTTGATCCCACTAGAAACCTATCAGTCTTCGCTGTTAGGTAATCAACAATTTCGGCCTCTTGGGCCTCTTGGGCCTCCAAGAGGGCCTCAAGAGGGCCTCAAGATGGCCCTAAAACGGCCCAAGACGGCCCAAGATATTCCCAACGGTGGCCCATGAGGCCCCCAAGACGGCCCCAAGAGGGCCCAAAAAGCTCCAAGGACGGCCCAACAGGGCCCAAGAGCGCCCATAACTGCGCCTCCAGAATCCGAAATCATTGATTTTCCGATGGTTCTTGCAATATTTTAGCGTTCTGGTCATTTTTCGGTTTTCAAAAATCCATGACGGCCCAAGCAGCTTCCAGAAGCGCCCCCGAACAACCCAAAAAGCCCCCAGGAGGGCCCTAAGAGGCCCCCAACAAGCCTCCAAGAAGTCCCCCAGAAGCCTCCCAAAGGCCTCCAACAAGCCCCCCAAAGGCCACACAGCGACTGGTGTGTAATGTTGCTTTCCCCCCTCTGGGCGAACTGCGGCGCAGCGCCAGCCAGGTGGAAGTTGGTCACTGCGGCGCCCATGATTGGAGCCGGCGATGGAAGGGAAGATGGGGAGGGTGTATGAAAAGGAGGGAGGGGGGAAAGCCCCCAAAGAAGCCCCCCAAAGGCCAAAAGAAACTCCCAGGAGGCCTCCAGGAGGCCCCCAAAAGGCTCCCAAGAGGCCCCGCGACGACGTGACTGTACGTGCTCCGGACGTGCACCCCGCGAAGCGAGACGAATCATCATAATCATCATCAACAGCATCATCATCATCATCATCATCATCATCATCATCATCATCATCAGCAGCAGCAGCAGCAGCAGCAGGATCATCAGCACCCCCCACCACCACCATCACCATCACCATCACCATCACCATCACCATCACCATCACCATCACCATCACCATCATCAGCATCAGCATCATCATCATGATCATGATCATGATCATGATCATGATCATCATCGTCATCGTCATCTTCATCGTCATCGTCATCATCATCATAATCATCATCAACAGCATCTCCATCACCATCACCATCACCAACTCCATCACCATCACCATCACCATCATCATCAGCATCATCATCACCATCATCATCATAATCATCATCATCACCATCTACATCACCATCATTAGCATCAGCAGAATCGTCATCACCATGATGGTCATCATCAACATCACCATCATCCTCGTAATCATCATCATCATCAGCATCATCACCATCACCATCACCATCATCGTCATCATCATTATCATCATCATCGTCATCATCATCATCATCAACACCATCACCATCACTATCACCATCACAATCATCATCACCACCATCATCATCACCACCATCAGCATCATCATCATCACCATCATCATCGTCATCCTCACCGTCATCGTCATCATCATCACAATAAGCACCAGCACCACCATCATCAGCATCATCATTCTCATCATCATCATCATGACCATCATCATCATCGCCATCACCACCAGCACCATCATCGCCATCATCATAAGATCAATAATAACAATAATCATCATGACAATGTCAACCATGTAACAGTTAAGCACCATCATCATCATCGCCATCGCCATCATCACCACCATCACCATAACCACCATCATCATCATCATTGTCATCATCATCAACCTCAGCATCAGCATCAGAATCAGCATCTGCATCATCACCATCACCATCACCATCACCATCACCACCACCACCATCACCATCACCATCACCATCACCATCACCATCACCATCACCAGCATCAGCATCAGCATCAGCATCATCATCATCATCATCATCATCATCATCATCATCATCGTCATCATCTGTCCTCCCCCCGTTCCCCACCCTTTCTTCCCTCAACCGCTTCCCTTCTCCCCCTCCTCCCTCCTGTCCATCCCCTCTCCCTCCCTCCCTCCCTCGCTCCGCCCCTCCCCCGCCCCTGTTTCCTCCCTCGCACTCCCCACCTCCTGGCCTGCACCCTGTTGAGGGAGATAAGCTGAGATAAGAACTGGCAACCTTGGCCCGCACGGCTGGCCTGCGAGCGACCGGGCAGGACGCTCTCCCCTGCGGCAGGCGCCCGGGCACCACCCCCCGGAGCTGGCGGAAGAAGAACGCGCGGGCCGTGTCGAAGAAAAACACGTTCACGAGCCCTGCGCCCCCCAGGCAGGCACGGGCGGGTGTACGTCTCGTCGTCCTCGTCCTCGCCGTCGCAACAGCCGCGCCGCCGCCGCCGCCGCCGTCGTCGTCGTCGTCGTCGTCGTCGTCGTCGTCGTCGTCGTCGTCGTCGTCGTCGTCGTCGCTGTCGTCGTGTCGTCGTGTCGTCGCGTGGTCGTGGTCGTGCTCGTGGTCGTGGTCGTCGTCGGCGTCGTCGTCGTTGTCGTCGTCGTCGCCGCCGTCGTCGTCGTCGTCGTCGTCGTCGTCGTCGTCGTCGTCCGTCGTCGTCGTCGTGGTCGTCGTCCGTCGTCGTCGTCGAGGGCGTTGTCTTCGTCGGTTGGCGGAAGACTGGCGGGCCCAGGACATGTGACATGGCCCGCCCTGCTGGCGCCGACGGAACCGACGGAGCCGACGAGCCAGCGACGACGAAGACGACGACGACGACCCTCACCTCCGTTCTTCTCCTTCGTTGCTTTCCTCAGTTCCGTTCCCAACTCCCCCTGTTCCAGTATTCATCCAACCCTCTTGCACCACCGCCTAGTGCCAACAAATGTTGAGCTCCCTTGGCCCAGCAGCAGTCGCTAACACTCTTCGAACGTCAATGATGATCACTGGGGCGCCAGCTCCCAGCCATGTTGCGCACGGTCGGACCCAAAAGGGTGTCGAAGCCGATGGACACCGCCAAAACCCCGTGGGGGGAGGACCACAACTGCCCCGGGGCGCGGCTGGTCGATGGAGGCGGCGGCTGGGGCGCCTGCGTCGGATATCGGTACCAATCAAAACCGGTCAGGAAGGGGAACATGGAACAAATCTGGCCCGCGGCACCAGCCCATGGAAGGCGCCCAAGGAAGGCCCAGTAACGAAATACCCTGACATGCGCCGGTATGATCTTTTCACTCAGCAGCCCTGGGAGTTCCCGGCTGCTTCCCCAACGGAAATTTCGCGGCCCCGATTCGGATTGGATTACCCGCGGGCCCAACAACGGGACCAGGAGGCAGCAATCAAAGAATGCTAGCCGCGGTGGGCCCCAAACAATGTGTTTCGAGCAATCCACGCGGTGCTACTAAATGTTGGGCAACCTATGTGGTGCGAACTATTTGGTGCAATCTCCGTGGTACACTTTATGTGATGCAAGCTATGTGGGACAATCTATGTTGTGCACTAATTCTCAGTTCGCAAAGAACTGTCAACTCCATTGCTCGCGCAATCATCCCACCCACCCACCCGCACCTTGATTAGCATAAGCCCATGCGGCAGTGATTGCGATGGGTGCTTGGGTGTTGGCTGGTGCATCTCTGCGGCCAGGCTAGCCCGCGCACGTTCGCGCGCGCAGCGGCCAGCTAGTTTGGCGCGACCACGCGGCCGCGGTGGCGCTGACCGCTGGGTTTTCCCAGCGGGCCTTTTCGACGCAAGTCGGCGACTTGGGCGGGCCGTATCATGGCAATGTCGACAACGGTAGACGAGAGGATGATAGTAGCAGTGCTGGTGACGATGATCACACTGGCGACGGCAAGGCAAGTGACGGCGCCGATGCTGATCAAGCCGACGACGATGACGGCGTCCTCGCGTCGGTGATGAAGGTTTTGGAAAGAGTTTGACATGCGCGCGCCGCCGACGCGCGAGAGTGGCCCGCATGATGTTATTTGGCACGGATTGTGCCCCCCCAGCACGCGCGCAAGGGCCTTCGAATAATCTTGACCTGCGGCGCGAGAGGCCCGCTTGGCAAAATTCAGCGAAAATGTTGAAAAACTCATGGTTGACTTGAGAACTCACGAAAGCGCGAGCGCAGGCTTTGAAAAAAGAACTGGCGTTGCAAGACCATTGGTTTGTATGTGAATTCGCGACACTCGATTTTGAAATCCTTACGACACCTAAAACATGTTTGAAGGACTTCGGCGTGCGCGCGCGACGACGCGCGCGTGCACTTCGTCCCGTTTTCTGCAAGGGATTATTGCGACAGCACGCGCGCAGGGGCGTTCGACAGATGTCGATATGCGCGCGCGAGAGGCCCATTTGATAGCATTGGTTCAAACTGTTGAAAGCCAATGGTTTTCACAAGAATTCGAAAGGGCGCAGGCGCAAGCTTTTTTTTTTGAACATTTGTCTTGCGAAACCATGTGTTTGGTATGTTTTCGGGACACTCGATTTTGAAGTCCTCTCCCAACCCAAGGTTTTGGAAGGATCTTGGCATGCGCGTGCGAGCCCGAACCCGCTCAAAACCTGCCCCCTGGCCCCTCCTGGGGTCTATCCTGACCCGTTTTTCGAGGCGGATCCGGCCTCGGCGTCGAGAGGCCTCCGGGGGGGGCCCAAGAAAAAAGGGAGAGCCGCCACTGGCTCGACTGGCCCTCCCAGTGTAGGAGGAGGCGGAGGAGGAGGAGGAGGAGGAGGAGGAGGAGGAGGAGGAGGAGGAGGAGGAGGGGGGGGGAGGGAGGGGGAGGAGGAGGAGGAGGAGGAGGAGGAGGAGAGGAGAGGAGAGGGAGGAGGAGGAGGAGGAGGAGAGGGAGCAGGAGGGAGGAGCAGGAGCAGGAGGAGGAGGAGGAGGGGGAGGGAGGAGGAGGAGGAGGAGGAGGAGGAGGAGGAGGAGGAGGAGGGGGGAGCACTGGCCTCGAACTGGCCCTCCCAGTGTCGGCTCTCTGGCCTTCGGGTCGTACAGCTCGGGTCTCCCGCGGCCGCTCGGGACGCTCTCGGGGCCCCCCGGGGCAGGAGGGGAGGAGGAGGAGGAGGAGGAGGAGGGAGGAGGAGGAGGAGGAGGAGGAGGAGGAGAGGGAGGAGGGGAGAGAGGGGGAGTAGGAGGAGGGGGGAGGAGGGAGGAGGAGGGAGGAGGGAGGGAGGAGGGAGGAGGGGGGGAGGGGGAGGAGGGAGGAGGGAGGAGGGAAGGAGGGGTAGGGAGGAGAGGAGGAGGAGGAGAGGAGGAGGAGGAGAGGAGGGGAGGAGGAGAGGAGGAGGAGGAGGAGGAGGAGGAGGAGGAGGAGGAGGAGGAGGGAGGAGGGGAGGTGGCGAGGAGGAGGAGGAGGAGGAGGAGGAGGAGGAGGAGGAGGGACCAGCTCAATGGGGGGGGGGGCTCGAGCTGGAATCGGCGAGACGCCGCCAGAAGAGATCGGCGGCGGGACCCCGGCCGCGAATCCGCACGGGTCCTGGGCGGGGTGGGGCCATCGGGCCCCCATCGGCAGTGCATCAACGATTGTTCGAACGCCAAAAATTGGTACGGAAAGAATCGGTACAGACGACGACGACGACGACGACCTCCTCCTCCTCCTCCTCCTCCTCCTCCTCCTCCTCGTCCTCCTTGTCCTCCGCCTTGTCCTCCTTGTCCTCCTCCGCCTCAACAACAAATGTTGTCCCAAACCAACAGCGGCCGTGTTGGGCGGGCGGCCTTCCGTCTCGAATGGACGCAGGCCGCGGCGGCGTGGAGAGCGAGTCCGGTTCAAAATGAACCAAATCCGCTGTTGGGCATTGTACCCATTCTTTCCGTGCCCACTTCGTTCGTGCAGCGATTGGGAGTCGATGCGTCGCCCCTGAACCTGTTCCCCTCTTCGCGCTCCCCGACACCAGCCGCTCTCCGGCCACATGTCGGGCCCCTCCAGTGGTCGCTCGGGGCTCGATCTGGGCATCCCTGGAGCGCCCTCGGCGAGGCGCAGCTGCTGGGAAGCACCCCGAGGAGGGAGAGCCATCGGGAATCGGCGAAGAAAGCCTGAAAGCCCCGAGCACCTGGGACCCGAAGGACCCCCCCCCCGCTGGAGCCTACCCTTCTGCAGGCGAGGGCGTCCCTCAGGAACCACCGCGTCCAGCCGTCCCCCCCCACCTCCCCCCCGCCGCCAGGCATTGCGAGTATTGCAGGCGGATCTTGGAGGACAATTAAAATGGCCCAAACTTGTTCAAAATATGCAAAAATAGCCGACTAAGTCTTCCCCTAAGTATGTTTGACTATTCTTGAATACTCCTCCTGTAGAGGGACGTGCCCGACTTAAAGATATTTCCCCCTTTGTGCTCTTGAGGGCCGTTTTGGGGGTGCTCTCTTCTGTCCCCCTGGAGCCCTCTTGGGCTGCCTTGGACAATCCTACGACCGCAAAGGTGAGAACGCTAAAAGATGCCAAAACCAGAACAAGACTCATTTCAAGTGGCCTCCTCGGAGCCTCCTGGAGGCTCTCTCTGTTGGAACGCACTCGGGTCACTCTGGCGCCCCAGGGGCCCCCGGGTGCCCCAGGTACTTCTGCGCCCGCTGCCCCCCGCTGGCGCGCCGTCCCGCTCTGGCCCTGGCCGACGGCGCCGTCTGGGGCAGCCCTGGGGGCCACTGCCCCCCCCGCCCCCCCGCATGGCCGAGACGACGGGAAGCGGCCGAACCCTCGAGGCGGGGGCAGCCCTGGGGGGGGGCCACTGGCCCCTCGCAGCGCCAGGGCGAAAGGAAAAACGGCCGAACCTTCCCAGACATCCGACGCCTCGATTTCTTCCAGACACGGGCCCCCGACATCCCGACCACTTCTCCGGGACCGGTTTGTCATCCCGGGTCGTTCTTTGAGGGTCCCGAGGCCCGGCGAGGGCCCCGAGGGGCCCGAAAACGACGAAAAACCTCCGTCTCGATTTTTTCGAGACGCCCGATGTCTGGGGAGGCCTCCGAGATGGCTCCAGCACCTGCCGCGGGGAACACATTAGGGCATGATGGAGGTTTTCGAGGCTTCCTATCCTGGAGGGGGCTCCCATCCTAGATGGGGTCGGAGTAGACGGGGTCGGAGGACCGCGCCGCATCGCCGATGCATCGACGATGCAGCTCGATGTGGAGCCCGTGTTTCCCCACGCCGACGTCGCCGATACATCGCCGATGCATCGGCCCAAGGTGCCCAAAACTGGCCTCAGGTGCCCCAAACTCCTCGCGCCACTCTGGCGCCCCTGGGGCCCTCGGGACCCCGCGGGGGGCGCTCGGGGCGGAATCCTGGGACACCCTGGGCCAGGGGCACGCTGGCCCTCATTACCCGGCCCCCCCCCCAGGAGGAGGAGGAGG